AGGGTTAAATTATTATATCAAAAGGGTTAAACCATCATCAAAGGGTTAAACCATCATCCTCAAAGGGTTAAATTATTATATCAAAAGGGTTAAACCATCATCAAAGGGTTAAAACGTAAGAATATTAAACAATATAGACTAGATAAAAAATCGTAATATTTCAAACCAAGAATAAAATAATATAGAGAAATAGGAAAGAAAAAGGTCGATATTTTTAGCTAATTAGCGAAAACAGGTGATATATCCAAGACCACAGGTGATATATCCAAGACCACGCCCAAGACCACCATAACCACGTCACTGCTCCACGTCAACCAGGGACATTAACCACGCCTACCTGTTATTATACCTGTCAGTTGTAATTAATATACATCCTCCACTACCTCTAACCACAACCATCTACTATCATCCACAACCATCTACCATCATCCACCTACCACAACCATCTACCATCATCCACCTACCACAACCATCTACCATCATCCACCTACCACAACCAGTCACCATCATCCACCTACCACAACCATCTACCATCATCCACCTACCACAACCATCAACCACCACATCTACTACAACTACCACCAACCATTATCCCTTAGCTATCCAATACCACAAACTGCCTACCACTACCTTCCACCACAACCACCAACCTCACCTACCACTATTCCCCCACCACAACCACACAAACCACAACAGACCCCCCACCCGTCTCATAACAAACCAGCCTCCCCCTTAAAATAAACAAATTCCCATAACTCGTTGTAAATGAACTTTCACTTAACCTAACTAACCAAACCTCATAACATTTGACCTCTACCCTCCAACCATGCATGAAGCACTGTACCTATAAATTGAACAAATCCTTCCCTCCTTTTCTCTTCCTCTCCCTTTCCCTTCCCTCTCCTTTCCTCTCTCTCTCCCTCCCAATCTTAGGTGAGGTAACAGAGGTAGACAGAGAGAAGCAGATAATCCACGGGTTAGAGAGACAAGCTAATCAGTAAGATGAAGGGCAGGTGAAGCGAGGAATAAAGTAGCAGGTGGTAGGAACAGGTGAGGAGGACGGAGGAGGAGGCAGCCTAGGGGACCCTCCACACAACCAGACATCTTCAAGCTGAGCACAGTGCCTGCCACCACCACCACCACACCACCCTGCCACTACCACCCACCGCCACTACCACCACCGCCACTACCACCCACCGCCACTACCACCCACCGCCCACGACCACCCACCGCCACTACCACCCACCGCCACCACGACCACCCACCGCCACCACCCACCGCCACTACCACCCACCGCCGCCACTATCATTACTTCCCTCCCCAAGTGTTTCACCACCACCACAACGAGACAATGGTGGAGGTGTTGTGAGTGACGCTCCACCACACACCTGCGACACACTTATACCACTAGCACCATCCTCCTACTACTACTACTACTACCATCATTACCACTATCACCACTACCACCACCAGTATCATCTTGTGAGCGCGGGGTACATCCTGTTAGAGCGCTCTGTACGGTGCTCTATATGCTCTCTAGGGACTCTTAGAATTGGGGGGGGGAAGTTACTGTGCTATGTGCGTGTAGGCAATTGTGGTCTCTCTCTCTCTCTCTCTCTCTCTCTCTCACCTGTTCCCAATAGATGACCTTAACTATCTACACAATATCACTCTTACCTGATAAACTGTATACTTCCCATACCATAAACTCACGACTATACCCCACGTACACAGTATATTAACACCACGTACACAGTATATTAACACCACGTACACAGTATATTAACACCACGTACACAGTATATTAACACGTACGTATATACACCACGTACACAGTATATTAACACCACGTACATATTTACCACGACACAGTATATTAACACCACGTACACAGTATATTAACACCACTACAGTATATTAACACCACGTACATAGTATATTAACACCACGTACACAGTATATTAACACCACGTACACAGTATATTAACACCACGTACACAGTATATTAACACCACGTACACAGTATATGAACACACGTACACAATATATTAACACCACGTACAGTATATTAACCCATGCACAGTATATTAACACCGTACACAGTATATTAACCCACGTAACGTATATTAACACCACGTACACGTATATTAACACCATGCAGTATATTAACACCACGTACAGTATATTAACACCACGTACACAGTATATTAACCCATACACAGTATATTAACACCACGTACATAGTATATTAACACCACGTACACAATATATTAACACCACGTACACATATATTAACACCACGTACACAGTATATTAACACCACGTCACAGTATATTAACACCACGTACAGTATATTAACACCACGTACACAGTATATTAACACCACGTACACAATACACCACGTACATAGTATATTAACACCACGTACACAGTATATTAACACCACGTACACAATATATTAACACCACGTACACAGTATATTAACACCACGTACACAGTATATTAACACCACGTACACAGTATATTAACACCACGTACATAGTATATTAACACCACGTACAGTATATTAACACACGTACAATATATTAACACCACGTACACAGTATATTAACCCCACGTACAGTATATTAACACCACGTACACAGTATATTAACCCCCGTACACAGTATATTAACACCACGTACACAGTATATTAACACCACGTACACAGTATATTAACACCACGTACACAGTATATTAACCCCACGTACACAGTATATTAACACCACGTACACAATATATTAACACCACTCACAATATATTAACACCACGTACACAGTATATTAACACCACGTACACAGTATATTAACACCACGTACACAGTATATTAACACCACGTACACAGTATATTAACACCACGTACACAGTATATAATGACATTCAAAGTTACTAATTGGACTCTCAGGTAATAATTAGTGAAGCCATACAGGTGAAGCTGCCACAGAGCATCCCGTACTGTTTAGTAATCCCTTCTGGACGATGATTTAACCCTTTGAGGACGATGATTTAACCCTTTGAGGACGATGATTTAACCCTTTGAGGACGATGATTTAACCCTTTGAGGACGATGATTTAACCCGAGGACGATGATTGAACCTTTGAGGACGATGATTGAACCCATTGGGACGATGATTGAACCCTTCTGGACGATGATTTAACCCTTTGAGGACGATGATTTAACCCTTTGAGGACGATGATTTAACCCTTTGAAGACGATGATTTAACCCTGAGGACGATGATTTAACCCTTTGAGGACGATGATTTAACCCTTGATGACGATGATTTAACCCTTTGAGGACGATGATTTAACCCTTTGAGGACGATGATTTAACCCTTTGAGGACGATGATTGAACCCTTTGAGGACAATGATTTAACCCTTTGAGGACGATGATTGAACCCATTGAGGACGATGATTGAACCCTTTGAGGACGATGACTTGATCTACGGCCACCTACAGTACACTTGCTTCACAACACTTACACTATCACCACTGATTGTACACTCACCATCACCACCACCCTCACCAACACCCTCACCAACACCCTCACCAACACCCTCACCAACACACTCACCAACACCCTCACCAACACACTCACCAACACACTCCAGGAGCTTCATCAGGCAGGGAAGGTTCGTTACATTAACTTGACAGAGGTTTCCAGAGAGCCAGATATCGTGCTTAGGAGAGGGGAGGAGAAACAGGAAAAAATTACTAGAACCCATCAGTGTTTAAAATGGCTTACTCTTAACACCTGCGAGCAACAAACTCACAACACCATCAACCTGCAACACCATTAACCTACAACACCATCATCACAACACCAACCAACCTAACACAATCTTCAACCACAACAACCTCCTCTACAACAAAAACCAAGAAACTCTAACTAAACCAAACCAAACTCTAACAAACCAAACCTAACGTAACCCAACCAAAACCTAACCTAACCTAATCTAACCAAACCTAACGTAAACCACCAAACCCTGACCAATAAGCGACAAGATTATCAAAAGAAAGAAATACGACTAATAATCACCATAATCCAATAATCTGTCTAAATCCTTTCCCGGAAGTGAGAGGCAGGAGGAGGAGGAGGAGGAGGAGGAGGAGGAGGAGGAGGAGGAGGAGGAGAAGAAGGAAGAGGAAGAAGAAGAAGAAGGAAGAGGAGAAGAAGGAAGAAGAATAAGGAGAGGAGGTAGTAACGCCCAGCTGACAAAATATACATAATATATACATCTTCGCTTCCTAAGACATTACCTAACACACACCACACCTGTACGGCCATCTTAATTAGCTACTCCCCTGTTGGTCTACCTGTCACCTGGTTTATGACTGAGTGAGGAGGAGGAGAGGGGGGACTAATTTACAGGTCAACCATAGAAACAAACTTATCTTAATTACGTGACAAACCTTCAATAATACGGTTCAAAGTTTCACCTAATAATAATATCAGGTAAAAAAAATATTGTCAAAGTAATATGCAACTCTCTACATAAAGTTTTAATTAGTAACCAGATGACATGTCAAAGTTATACAAGAAACTTATCCCAAGACAATTATTGCGTTAACTTTTTACACAAGCACCCAGTTCCTATTCAGTCCCCACCCAGTTCCCACACCCGTTCCTTACCCAGCCCCTGCAACTAGCCCCATCTTCCCAGTCCCCCGCCACCCACATAGTGTCATAACCTCAATCACACAGCAGATGAACCAGCAGCTGCTTCCTCTTTGTTCTCGTGGAGTCAATGAGTTTTAACCCAAACTCACCAAAAAGTTAAAGAGTTTTGATTTTACTTTTTTGTTTTTATTGTTTTGATTTTTTTGTTTGAGAACATGAAGTCTGGTCTACTTGGAACTAACTGGTGGGCTGGTAATATACACAACTGACTGTACTGATGTGACTGGTTCTATAGACTGGTAACGATCACAACAAACTGTACAGATTAACAGTCTACTTACCAGTCCTATGAAGATCTTCGATTCCTTTTTTTTAGGCTTTAACTGTTCTGTAAATGAAGAAAAAAATGTGAGTTAGTGTTTAGGTCTGATGAATGAGAGAGAACACCCTCTTCCCAATTTCAAGTAGATATGACCTCTCTCTCTCTCTCTCTCTCTCTCTCTCTCATGACCCTGGACACACGAGGTCAACTTTTATTCACATGAGGTCAACTTTTATTACATTAAATTCACACGGGTTTGGTACCGCATTATCGACTCCCTGTGGTCAAAATAATCCGGTACCGAGCGAATTATCTCCCGTGCTGGCGTTAACATCATCGCCTATCCGTGACACACACACACACACACACACACACACACACACACACTAATTAATCTACTCCTGAAACCCACATGTCAGAATATAATCTTAGTTGCGTGCGTGAGTGAGTGCGTGTATTAGGAAGTGAGTGATTGAGTGTGTTTCTCTGGTATAAACCCCGAGGAGGAGGACAAGAGTGCGTGGTGGTGAGTGGTGAGTGGTGAGTGTTCTCTCACTGGTAGGAGCCCGAAGAACAATAACAACAACAATAAAAAAACAAGAAAAGAAGAAGAACAATAAGAGGGAGAAACAGGAACAGGAAGTAGAGGAAGAAAGGAGGAAGGAAGAGGAGGAAGGAGGAAGAGAGGCGGGTGAGATGGTATCGATCGCAAGGGAGGGAGGGAGGGAAGGGGAAAGCTAGCTCACACCCTCCCAACGGAACTATAGCCCCAGTCACCACACACATATCAGGGAATTACCAGGTAGCGGCGTTCCCCTCTCACACACACACACACACACACACACACACACACACCTACGTCTGCCTTACACCTCACCTCCTCATACCTTGCCCTCATGCCAGGGGAGGGAGCAAGGAAGGAAGGAGGGGGAGGAGGGATGGAAAGGAAGGGAAGGAAAAAGGGGAGGAGGGAGGGAGGGAGGGAGGGAGGGAGGAAGAGGAAGGAAGGAAGGAAGGAAACATTACCACAGCAACAGAGAGAGTCAGGGGGGGACCAGGGGGAGGGACCAGGGGGAGGGGGGAGGGGGGACGGAGAGGAAGCCAGCTGTTCCGTAGTAAACCAGCTGTTCCATAGTAAGCCAACTAGAGGGTATTATCCGCTCTCTACCGTCTCTTAAGGCTATCAGGCAATGAATACCTATATATACCTTACTTTAGGGGGAGTATAATGCAGTATTAAGGGGGAGGAGAGAGTGAGGAGGGAGGGAGGGAGGGAGGGAGGGGAGGAGGGAGGGAGGGAGGAGGAGGAGGAGGAGGAGGAGGAGGAGGAGGAGGAGGAGGAAGGAAAAGGAAGGACATAACACAAACATCAACAAACACATCACAGTACATATTAGTGAACAAAACACAGAATCATTATAGAACACAGTGTATCTCCAAACACTAAGTAAACATTTAAGGTAAGAGTCTTTATATATTCAATTTCGTGTGGTTTAGTTTTTCAGTTTAATTTTTTCGTTTATTTTTTTTTTTTTAATTAATTAGTTATTTTTACGCCTTAAATGATCAATTAGGAGGAATATTTAAAAATTTTCCTTTTGGGTCAATAAGGTTTAGTAGTGAAACATGGGTAGGTATGTCCGTAGACTTTAACTCACTGTATTCTATCTCATTTTGACACATTATTATTATTATTGAATTTATTAAGAGTATTGTTATTATTATTACTATTTAGGATATTATGCATGTGACGTCACCAATACCAGTACCACTCCGCTCCTGAAACACCCAATCGCACTGAGCCATCCATCAAACATCACGCCTCTGTTCATGTCAGCCCAGCACATTCCACCATTTATATTCAAGAGTAATGAACAAACAGCCCCCCGTCCCCCCCCGTCCCCCTTGTAACGGATTATTATCATGATTCGCTAGATCTGGACATTACAGTAAGGCCATGGCTACCTCACTCTACGCTGGCCAGAAACTGATTAAATGAACACACTCCCGAGTCCCCGCCATGCCATCCCTCCCTCCCTCTCTCCCGCCATTACTTTGTCTGGCCTGCCGATCACACACACACACACACACACACACTATCATGTACTAACACTTTTTCTGCCTTTTTTCCTATGTTTCTGTCTACATATTTACACTACCAACACGTTTACAGCGTTTGCTTTATTCGTATACTTGGGTCACCCTGTATATTTGCATCACTCTGAAGGCGGAAAAAATCACCTGCTTATACGGATCACCCTGTAGGATCACTTGTATAGAGAGAGAGAGAGAGAGAGAGAGAGAGAGAGAGAGAGATACAAAAAGAAACAAAGAAAGAGAGAGAGAAAGAGTGAGGGCATCAATCTTAAGATGCTGGTCCAGTGGTTGCCGGTTCATTACTCCCAGTCAAGAATTTCTTCATCACCACCACCCTCTTCCTTCTCTTAATCATCTTCCTACTCATCCTCTTCTTCCTCCAGCTCCTCCTCCTATTCGTCTTCACCCTCTTCCTCCTCCTCCCACTACGCCACTTACTCCTTCTCTTCAGCTAAAGACGACTCTACGACCTCTCTTAGAGCGAGGATGTTAGTGTTTTAAAATAACCACACACACACACACACACACACACACACACGAAAGACGACGTTGATGATGTGACTAAATTATACATCATTTAACATAACCTAACCAAACGCATACCTAACCTAACCTAACCTAACCTAACCTAACCTAACCTAACCTAACCTAACCAAACCAAACCTAACCACAAGAGTACAACACTAAACAGGAACTTAAGTGACCCTGCAGGAGTCACAGAAGGCGTAAGTCGCTCCTCTTATTACACCCTAGAAAATCCTGAAGGTTAGGTTAGGTCAGGTTAGGTTAAGTTAGGTCAGGTCGGGTCAGGTTTGGTTAGGTCAGGTCGGGTCAGGTTTGGTTAGGTTAGGTTATCTCTGTCTGGTATCTTTTTGTTTGGTTCTTTTGACGATGAGTAGAGGCCATGCGTGCTTAGCTAAGGGGCGGAGGGAGGGGGGGGGGAAATGTGCTTATTTAACACCTGTAGAATGGGAGGAACAGGTATTACAACAGGTATTTCATATATAACCAACACCTCTAAAACACCTGTAGGGGTATATAGAACCTCCACTGAAGAGCCAGACAGACAGACACACCCCTCCCTCTCCCACACACCCCTCCCCCTCCCCACACACCCCTCCCTCTCCCCACACACCCCTCCCTCTCACACACACCCCCCCCTCTCACACACCCCCCTCCACACACACCTCCTTCACACACACCCTCTCTCCCACACCCTCCCCTCTCCCCACACACTCCCTCCTCCCCACACACCCCTCCCCTCCCCCACACACCCCTCCCCTGGTAGGTTTTATCGCCTGTAACCTCCAATTAGCCAGTCAAGGTATCAAACTAGCTATAAAAAAATTGCTGCCTTTTAACTGGACCAAAACGCTTACACATTCACTAGTTAAGTCTGCCACGTAAGCATCTAACTGCCTCATTAATCCTAAAGATGGTGGACATAGTGGAGGTAAAACAGCACAGAGACTCGAATTGGATCATTCTTTGGGGAGAGAAAGAGAGAGAGAGAGAGAGAGAGAGAGAGAGAGAGAGACAATCACAACACCTTCAGGTAAACAGCGGTGGAAGGAAGGATTCTCGATTTCTGGGTCTTGTATGATGGTGGTGTGGTGGTGATGGTGGTGTGGTGGTGATGGTGGTGTGGTGGTGATACTACTACAACTATTGCAACTATTTTTGCTGATACTACGACTACAACACTAAAACTACTACTACTATTACAAGGTTCGATTAGGTTGTCAGACTACGTAAGGCTAGGTTAGATTAGGTTACATACCACAACTAACCAAGTCTAAAAATTACTAATACTTTTCAACAAGTTTTTAATGAGATAATTTTTGCAACTTTTTCTCTCTATAAAAAAAATATATTGGATGGAATTTCACTTCGATTGAGAAAATTAATAAGGGAAAAAAATACAAAATAAGTTGTTGCCTTCTGTGTGTTGTAATAATAATAATAATAATAATAATAATAATAATAATAATAATAATAATAATAATAATAATAATAATATTAATAATAATAATAATAATAATAAACGGTTTATTAATAGAGTTGCAGCCGGTGGCTGAAAATATACAGATTTACATTTGATTTATATGATTTAATAATATGATATAATATGCATTGAATACATTTACAGGGCTGTACAGTACATAAATCAGGAGTTGTTTATTATTTTAACAATAGATGGGATGGTGCTGTTCTTATATCTATCAGTGCGGGCTCTTATGGGCTGAATTTTGTTTTAGTGGCGGACTGCGCGAGGTGGGTGGGGGGCTGCAGGTGGCAGGAGGTGGCGATGGCGAGGGTGGTGCAGTAGTCCACTGCCAAACCTTGCTAGTGCTTGGTGGTGGAGGTCACTGAGGGATGGCATTTCCAGGGTGGAGAGAGCGTTGATGTAGCTTTATATTCTGTGTGTGTGTGTGTGTGTGTGTAAATGAGAAACAGATGGAAAGGACAAAGAGAGAACGATGAAGAGGGGAGAAGAGGAAAAAAAGTGAGAGAGAGAGAGTAAAACATGTCACAGGTGTTCATAAAGAGAGGGGAAGCTGTACCCTGAGGCAGAGGCAGGGAAGAGGAGAAGGGAGAGAGGAAACGGGGGAGAGAAGGAATGGGGAGGAGGAAAGGGGTGTGGGGAGGAGAGGGCGGGGAGGGGCAGGGGAGAGGGCCAGGGGAGGGGGCGAGGAGGGGGAGCAGCAGCAGCCTCGCCCCTGTGCGCCGCCACCCTAGCAGCATCGGCCACGCAACACCTCCGATGGGAGTGCACTCACAACTACTGATATCCTCACCTTGACCTCTCCTCCCTTACTCTCCCTCACACTACCTCCCTCTCCCTCCAAGTATCTCTTCTCCCTCCTGCCTCTCTCCCTCTCCCTTCCTCCTCCCTCTTTCTCTCCTTCCTCCCTCCCCTCTCCCCTTCCTCCCTCCATCACCTGCCTCCCCTTTCCTTTTCCCACCAC